AAAAACCTACTTTTGTGAAGTTTTTTTTTTTTGTCTGTATAAACTGATTATTTAAAGAATTATGTGTATGTAAATTTCTGTTTTATATTTATACTTTAGCTAATTTAATTAAATCCAAAAAAAATAAAAACCATTTTTTTTGGAAATTTTAAAAGATGTTGAAAAAATTGAATTAATATTTAAAACAAAATTCAAAAATTGTAAAATAGCAAAAAATTTATTCCTAAGCAGATGTAATTAATTAATTAATTAATTATCTATTAATTATATATGTATAGTTAATAAGTGATAATAAATATAGATATATATATATGAATATAGTATATAAAAAAATTCTTATAATGAATTCGCATAGTTATTAAAAAATTAAATAAATTTATTTAATGCAAATTACTTAGCAAAAGCGATACCAATAAAAAATAAATAAAAAATCTAAAAAAAAATAATAAAAAATTCGAAAATAAAAATAATTTTCATATTAAAAAAAAAATTACATGTGTTTTTTGTTTTTGTATTAAAATTGTTTTTGCTTCAAAGCTCATTGACAACGGGAAGTTCCCTCTACTCTTTCCAAATTTGCACAACAAAAATTATGGTTGTTGTATTAATTTGCACATTGACATTTGTTGTTGTTGTTGTGGTTAACTGTTCTCTTGTCTAAATTTGGTTGTCTAAACGTTTGATTAAAAAATAAACACAAAAAAACAAACAAAAAAAACGAACGATCTTAAGGCGACTAAACGACAACAAAGACTTTCTACTTAAAAATCATTTCATTCAGGGCATTTATTAGGGAAATTAATTGATTTGGAATTAATGGGGCTAATTTTAGAGTTACCAACTTTTAAATGATTGGAGCACTGGGAACGAAGAGAGTGAAAATGTATTTATTGCGGATTGTGTTAAATGTGTAGCCAATCAACAACGGAAGTTTAAGAAATTTGTTGAAAGCTTAATATAAAATATATAGAAAAAAAAAATATTTTAATTAAATTAATTAAAAATAATTAATAATATATACAGTTGTCTATATGTTATTAATGTAATTAATAAAAAAATAAACTTTGATTTATTTGACCACTTTGAAAGTAACTATAGAAGAAGTCCAAAAAAGTTCACTTGTCGATCATACGAGGTCTCATTTTCAATGATACAATTAAAATTGAAAATTAATATACGTTTCGAAATTAAATTAATTAAATACATATACATATATACATATCTTCATATTATTAAACATATTTAGATCATTTTAATGTCTTTAGACACCAATAAATTTAATTATAAGCAAGTTCAAAGGAGGTTCTGTTGTTGATGAAATGATTGAAACAGAAAATGAATATATTTTTCTTAATGTTAATAGAAAAGCTATGTAATATATTCATAATTATAATTATAATATATATAAATATATATGTTTTCTTGTTTAGACGCTGACCGGTCATGGATACTTTTGCAAGTAACCTTATCATATAAGAAAGGCGGAACTACCTTCCTGTACCTTCCTGTATGTATGGCAATAAAAACTGTGGTGATGCCGTCCGGAATGACCCAACAACTCCCAAAAATATAGTTGAAAAGATGAGAGCGAACCCAGAGAACTAGCTAATGATAGAGTCATATGTGATTAAAGTCCTAAAATCGAAGAAATTAGACCTAGAACGAAGAAGCAAAGGGCTTATAAATAGCGCAGATAAAAAATGTGGCAAAAAAGTTGAGTTCTTGACGCAGATCGTTGATCAAAGAGCATTGTTTAAAATGTTAATATAAAATTGACTCCCCGAAACTGCATGCGGGCTCCTGGTTCTTCTACTGAAAATGTGAAAGATCTTTATCGCTTTTTAACCAGCGGGTACCGAATCAAATACCTTCATAGATGGAGTATAATTGCTCATATTTACGACGTGATTGAACCAGAGAGGTCGCTTAATATTCAGTTCGTCAAGTTTCCCTTCTAGTTATGTAGAAGCTTACTTACTAACTGTTGTCCTTCTCTCCTAGTGGAGCATAGGGCCTCAAGCGTTGCAATTATACACTTTCATTTTACTATGTGCTCGCCAAATTAAACACAGTTACTTAAGCTAGATCTATGTGCATGGATCTAAATATCGAGGATCAACAAAAAAATAGGGATACAATACAATGAAAGCGTAGAGTCTTAGTTAGTGTATTGAATGCATGATGTTCCATAATGTGAATATCGTTTCTCTGCGTCTCACAGCATTGAATGGTTATTCGTAGATGTTTAGTTGATTATATATTATTAGTATTAGTAGATTATTATTATGCTGAGGCTAGTTGAGTCAGTGCACTTGAGGACATTTACTCTCTATTAACTGCGAGATTTCTTCATAACTCCTCTCTACGCCTTGACTGGTTTATTTTTTTATCACTTCGTTATACTAAGCAACAATTGATTTCAGATCTGCATACCTCCCCGAGGAGCCTGTAACCATTCTGAGATTTTTAGTAGATACTATTAGAGTACGATCGAAAATATATGTTGGTCTGAATATATAAATTTTTATATTTTGAAATGCGGTATTTGGAATATAAAGTTTTTTTCTTTATATTCCTAATATGTTTATGTATTAATATAAGTATAAAGTACACAACTATAAAGTGTAAATATTAGTGTACTTTATATTCCAAAAACTTTTATCAATTTTGATGTTATTCAATTATCGGAACATACTTCCTATTTTTTTTTAAAATCCAATCCAAATGTTCAAATTTTTTAATGAATTACAACATCTCATTGCTGTTCGAAAATTATAAATATCTATTAAAATTATGTTTGTATTTAATAAATCCAACAAAATTCAATAATTAAGACTAATGTCTATATTAGATTTTTGCTAATGAGTGCAATATTTCATTTAATCAAAATTATGTCTCAACAAATGGAGCAAGACCGACTTGAAATGTAATTTTAATTAAAACAAATTGAACTGAAATGTAAATTCTCTCTAAAATTTGATAATTCAAGATTTGTTAATTACTGAAAATCTAAAATAAATTACACTGATTTATAAATTACTGAATAATTTTGTTAATACGAGGAGACGAGACCTACTATCAGCAGAGCGAATGTGGATCAGAGTTCAATCTCAAGTCCAATGCAATCAAAATTATCACTTCAATAGAACCAGCTAAGTATTGTGAAATAAGTGCAATTGCACAAAATTAAATTAAGAAAAAAATTAAAATTGTTTTAATTTTATATAATTAAGCTAAGTTACTAATGCATTTACATATATGGTATATGGTATGCAATTTATACGCTTTAAGTAATTATTTTTGAAATGTATTTCGAATGTGGACATACGAGTAAAAAGCGCAAACCGACACCACAATTATTTCAACTAAGTTTTAATCATTATTTATTAGATAAATCTATTCTAGTTGTGAATGTATGTATGTATGTAATTAAATTTAGTTTCCAAAGTAGCTCAAGTGCAGTTTCGGTTTGTTTTGGAAACATGAAAGCTTCTAAGTTCACATGAAATACCATCGATTTTCTATTATTTAACTTCGTTTTGCATGTAAGTTCGCTGTTGCCGAGCTGACACAGTAAAATACAATGGAATTCTTAAATAATTATTATTTATTATAGTTGATATATGTACTCGTATATTTTTTATTTAAAGTCAACTATATTAAAATACCTACCCATAACAGCAGCAACGAAACTAATTAACCCAAAATGCGACCAAAAGCAATTCGGTGCCATTTCGCTAAGAATTCTGTGGCTCCTGTGGTCTCAGAGGAAATTGCATCAAATAAAAAATTTATAATTTTTCACTTATGAATAGTTGAAGAGACTCACTTGTGGAATTCCAGTTACCAGTTACCAACCAACCAGTTACTGCCAGCCCAAGAATAATAATAAGCTCTTGATTATTTTTTCATTTCTGCATTACACATTTCAGGACTTAAAATTTTTCTGTAGTTAAGATTTAAAGTCCTTTGTATTATTTTTAGTTGAGTAATGAAATTTCAAAGGCAATGTCATATTCTCTGTTTAATTTCAACCACACTCATTAGCAATTAAAAATAAATTTAGAACTAAGAATGTTAGTTTCGAATAATAAAATTTTACAAGGAGCATTTCATATGAGAAATACGATTTGCAGAGACTTCTAATGACAGAAAGGAAAGTTTACTTAAAGTCCCTATAAAAGGAGCATTTTATACCACAAACACGATTTTGTAGTTACTCTTATGACAGCATAGGCTCACTGCATAATACTGCTATGAGACTGGGTTTACCACGTAATGACTTTTGCCGTGGTTGTCGCTCTGAGGATAAAGAGAAAACTGTACTCCATCTCCATCTAATATGTAGCCAGAATGAGATCGAAAATCTTTGGGGACTTTTTTCTTACCGATCTGATTGAGTTACCATCCTGCAAAATTAAGAACTTATCCAACTTTATAGAATTGTTAGGTTGGTTCAGCTTTACCTACGGGTGCAGTCATTGCCTTTCGTCGTTGGGCGCATGCTGACCTGTATTCTATGAAACATCAAACGCCAATCCTGTGGTACCACAATGGGCTATTATTTCAATTAAAGTAGGTTGGAATGACGGGTTCGTACCCGTCATGGTGTAAATGTAAACATTTTGTAAGAAAATATCTCTAAAATTCCTCATAAAAGCAGTATTTTATATGCGAAATACGATTTGTTCATACTTCTAATGACAGCATTATGTGGTATAAATGTAGAAATCTTGAAAGGAAAGGTTACTAAAAGTACCTATAATACATAAGTTTTAGCAGTCAAAAATATGACAGTAATACACTGAAGGTATGGGCTTAAACTCACAGAAAAGGTTATGGTCTGATGATGGTTACAGAGTTCTAGTTTGTTGAGTTCAATAAGTGATTGGAG